ACCAGAGAGTATTGTCCAGCGTGCAGCTCCTGTCCTTTCGTGACCCTCACAGATATTCACAAAGCTCTTCCAATGCAAAATGACTGGATTTTTACAAGGCCCCAGTTCTGCTTTATACAACGCCTTTGCCTGTAGCTGATAGAACAGCAATTGTTTTCATTGACTTGCATTTACTGGGTCTTTCCGAGGCATTTAACCTAATTTTCGTAGAAATAACACTTTCTTTTCACACTCCTATTTCACTGATCTAGACACTGTTTGATTAAAGTTATATACTTACAACAATAACTACAACAGGCACACACAGGTTTGGGACCAGATACAACTGATTGGCAAACATACAGCCCGGCTGGGTAGGAGCCGAAGTCCCTGCTGCCGGATCAGCCCAGGACGCATCTGTAAGGGTCAGGAGCAAACATTTTCAGCCTCAGGCCACACGTCAATGGATGGGCCTGGCTGTATTCCACACTGCCCGGGCTGGTCAAATTTGGCCTGCGGGCCAGTTTGCTGACTCCTGATTAGCCTATCAGCTGTGAGCGGTCAGTGCACAGTGGGCATGCTCGGGGTGGGGGTGGGTGTAGAGCAGTGATGGCGAACCTACGACACGCGTGTCAGAGGTGACACGCGAACTCATTTTTTTGGTTGATTTTTCTTTGTTAAATGGCATTTAAATATATAAAATAAATATCAAAAATATAAGTCTTTGTTTTACTATGGTTGCAAATATCAAAAAATTTCTATATGTGACACGGCACCAGAGTTAAGTTAGGGTTTTTCAAAATGCTGACACGCTGAGCTCCAAAGGTTCGCCATCACTGGTGTAGAGGCTGGTGGCTAGATGGACAGAAGTTAGAGAACTTTAGTGCCTTGTACCCGAAAGCTTCCTATCAGACGCTGCCTGGATCAGCCTCCCGCTGCAGGCCGTGCCAACCTTCCTCCTTCCAAACCAGAGTCCACCCCGAGGCACTTTCCTGAGGACAGGGCATCTTTCATTACAGTTTAAAAAAATCTTTTTATAGAAAATTTCAAGCACACAGAAACTAGAGAGAACACGAATGAACTTGATGTAACCACCACTCCGCGGCGGCAGTTGGTAACACCTGGCCAATTCTCACCTGCAGGCAGAGGGGAGCCTCCCTGCTCTCCTGAGACCTCCGTGAGGATGGGGCTCTGTCCCTGGAGAGGCCTTCACTGCGGGGAGGGGCTGAGACCCAGGGGGAGGGGCTGAGACCCGCAGTCAGGGGCCTGGCCCAGGACCTCAAGGTCTCTGAGCCGTTGTGTTTAGCCTCTTTGGGAAGGGCTGTTGTCTGTCTTCGATGGCTCTCTTGTTGAGGGATCAAAAACTAAATTTTTGGTCCCTCAATAAGATACCTTCATCAACTTCCTTTCCCACAATGCGTTTCTGTCTTTCTCCTTCTCACTCTCTGTGAACATAAAGGCACAGGCACACCCTGGCCCCGGCCAAGGTGTCTGCAGAGGCACAGAAGGCAGCGGTCCAGAGGCCCCTCTGGAGGGGGGACGGCCCCACCCAGGCCCAGCTCTCCAAATGCACTGTGGGCATCAGCTCACCTCTCTGCCTGTTTCCTCGCCTGGGAAATGGCGATGACAATCCTCTCTCCCTCACAGGACTTTTGAGAGGAGTAGAGGCGTCGGGTAATAAATGCGAAGAGCTTTGAACAGGCGCCGGCACATATTAAATACTTAATAACATTTTTAAATTGAGATAGTGATACAGAAGGACTATACACTAGCAGCTGGTAGTAAGGATATCTGGGTGTAACTATATACCAACTACTGTCTGTAGAACGTGGGCTACGGTAGGGACAAGGTCTGGCCCTGGACAAACTCCTGATTAGCTGTGTGACCAGCGGTTAGTCACTGTCCCCTTCAGGGCCTCCACGTTCACATCGCTAACAGAAGGTGCTTGAATAATCTATAGTATAGATTCTATACCTTTTTGTTATTTAGTCTGAAACCTGGAATCTCTGTAGCAAGAAGTTCCCACCCCACTGCGGGTCTCCTTGGGCTTGGTTTTAATTAACCAATCGCTCACAGGTCAGGCATGGTGATGGGCAGTGGCTCCCCCCCAGCGCCCCAGCCACGCACACCCACGCACACCCACGCCCTGAACAGGTCACCAGCTCATTAACTACAGGCTGTTCTCTGGCCCAGCTGACAGGTGGGGCGGCTGCCCTACCAGTTCAGCAGACTGTGGGCTGGACAGCTCCCAGCACACTTGGCACTGGCCTGGGAAGAGGAGGGCAGGCACACCTCCCCAGAAAGGCGCTGGTGGGACACTCCCATCAAGCTGCCCCTTTCACCTGTTTTCTCCCTCCCTCCAGACCCCAGAGTCCATCTGCAGCCCGTCCTCAATCCACAGGGTCTCCTCTGAGCCTCCGCCGTGGGGGATGCCCCACTTCAGCTCTCACTCATGAAACAAGGGTGGTGCTAACCGCATACAAGGGCCTGGCTACATATGTCAAATGGAGTAGGAGGTCGCATGCCAGGGATGAAAAAAGCTAGACTTCTGCCTTCTCTGCCAGCCGGGCACGAGCACAGGGTGAAGATTGTGGGTCCAGCTTCCTCGAGGGACTGGCATCTGTAAGGTCCATGCCAGCTCTGCAGGGAGGCACAGAGACCAGAGCACGCTGAGCGGCGGACCTGCCTCCCACCCTCCCATCCACCAGGTGTGTCTCTGACACCCATTGCCCATCCGTCAGCCCCTGCATGGTCTCTCAGTACATCATCTCCACACAACACTGCCCCTAAGACCCAGGGGGTGCCAGGGAGAGAGCTGGGCAGAGCTCACTCCGGCCTGTATGGTGATCATGGTGATCAGGGAGCAGCTGAGCCCCACAGACAGAGCCTCCACCTGCATTACCCAGGCTGTGGGAGTGACTTTGGTGTGGGGCTCGACAAGGGTCAGCCCAGCATGGGACTGAGAAGATCAGCCCAGCTGAACCTGGGAGGATCGCCCTGAATGAAAAACACATGCTCACCTAGAACCCCCTGAGCTGGCTCTCCTCACATCACCCATGGTCAGCGACTAGGTCCCAGGGGCCAGGGCTCAGGGTTCAGAAAGGCCAGTCATCAGGGGCAGCTTGCTGAGCACCCAGCGTCCACCTCTCTCTCCCGAGGTTTGTGCCGTAAAACCCGCCTGGTCCTTCTCAATCTCACCCGTACCACTGCGTTCTCTAACCACTCAGTATCAACTTGTTAAGCAAACAAGCACCACACTTGCATTTGAGCACATTAGTTGCCATCCTAGCACATGTACCCACTCTTTGCCTCACCCTTTCTGCCCCAGAGATGCAGTATCCAGCAATTATAAGTCATATGCACTTGGATTTCAATACCACAGCACGACCTTGGACTGGTCACATGAACCTTTCAAAGCCTCGGTTTCTTTATCTATAAAATGGGAACAGTCATGGTGTCTCTCCTGCATGGTTATTATGATAACCAAAACAGATAACACATGGAAAGTAATGTGCAAAATGGATCAATACTTGTTTATTAGTATTTGTACTTATCCCTTCTCTTGCACCCATCCAAGTAGTAGAGGAAATAGAACAGCTTAAATTATGCTTTTGGTCATCTATATTTGTAGAACGATCTATTTTTAAGTTAGACATTAATTCCCGTCTCCATTAAGTGGTTCAGTGCCTTGGGCAACAGATTACTTATAAAGAGTATAATATTTAGTGGCTCCCTGCTGTGCAGTCAGACACCATTAATGGCCCATGACTTAGAGTCGGGAGGCAGGTAAACACACCCACACACCCCCTCAGACCCCACAGGCACGCACACACATTGAGTGATGGGCAGAGAGCCTAAAGCTGGGGCTATGCGCTGTTCTCTTACAATGACTTTTGGAAAAAGAAAATCAAGATGAAAGAGGAAGAAGGCCAAAGTTTTCTTTCACTAAATGATGCAAAAGAACATATTCCAAGTGCTGGTTAATGGGTTCGCTGTCACTGATCCCTAATCATCTCCAAAGCATTGCCTCGGGGTACCTTTTTGCAAGGTTCTGTTAACCCTCATGGATAATCTGCTGAGTCTTTCACTTGGCGAGGAAATTAATAAATTTCCCGTAGCTAATTTAGTCACTTGGGTAACTCTGGTAGAAAGAAGATCACAGTAATTTATAACATTCGGCGGAACATTCAGGCCTTCATCTGTTTTTGGTGTGTGCGCATGTGCGCGCATTTGCCATGGGCAGGGGCGGTAGAAGAGACAAGGAGAGGCTCTCAGTGCCACAGTGGAAGAGTCTCAAACCAATCAAGGGCTTTGAGGGTGGTTTGGGTATTCAAATGGCATCTTGGTTAAAGCCACTTACACCACAGATTTGTTTTTTTTCATTACAGGTAGAAGACTCCGGCCCTGGCGGGTGTGGCTCAGTTGGTTGGTGTCATGCCGTGCACCAAAAGTCAGCGGTTTGATTTCCAGTCAGGGCACATACCCAGGTTGCAGGTTTGATCTTTGGCCGGGGACAATTAATGTGTCTCACTCACATCTATGTTTCTCTCTCTCTCCTTCTCCCTTCCTCTCTCTCTCTAAAAACCAATAAAAACATATTTTCAAAAAGACTCCAGCACACTAAGGTCTCCTGGCATGACCAGAGAGGTGTGGTTATTCCTGGCCTCTGAGCCCTGGAAGCCCTCTGAAGCCAAACGCCTTGCCCTGCATCCCCAGCCCGGCCCCTCCCCCACCAGCACTGCAGGAAGCTTGGACTCCAACCTCCTGTCTGAGACCCAAAAAGGCTGGGCAACCCACAGCCATTCACACACTGCGTCCACAATGAGGTTAAGGGAAACCCTCTCTCCAGGGAGGACTAGTGTCCGCTCTCCCTAGAGCTCAGGGCTGGAGATGTGTCCATGGAAAACACCGGAATTTGAATCCCTACTGTGCTGGTTGTAGCCTTGGGTAATTCTCATCACAGTTTCTTTCTCTCTACTTCTCGGTTATTCCCCCATCACAGAACATAAGCCTTAAAGACCATGTGGTCCAACTTGACAGGCCAGCCCTCCATCTCCCCGGGAGCTGACTCCTCCATCACCCCTCGCATCACCTCTGTGTCCGTGACCCAGGAAGAAGGCGTCCTCGCCCCTCTGCTCTGCATTTCCGAAAGTACTGCACACACTCAGAGGACCCTGGGTAAACCGAGAGCCAGGTGAGCGATGCATCTGCGTGGCTTAGCCCGTCCTCGCCTTGCTTCTGCTCTGCGTGGGGCGGAGCGCCAATGACAACGCCAGCGCGTGCTCCTGGACAGCAGTCCCAGGTTGTGTCCAGTGCACCTGGGCCCAAGCACTTCCCGCCCAGGAGGCCCAGAGAGCTGGGCCCTCACACACCTGCTGACCCTCTGCCAGCGTGCTCCAGTGGCACAGCGGCCTTGCTGGTGCTCCCCACCCTCCTCGCCCGCGGCTCCCCCTCTTCTGCATTGGTAACTAGGCGGTGGTGACACCTCTGCTCAGAGATGGCGACCCATGGTTCTTGCCTCAGGGCCACCAAGGCCCAGGCAGAGCTCCCCCAGGGTCCGGGCTAGTGCCAGGTGCCAGGGGAGGTGCCGGCAGCCAGGGAGGAAGCCTGGGCTGTGTGCAAACTTTTTAGAAAAACAGAGCTCCTTCCGCACTTGCCCTGTGACTCTCCAAGCACAGACTGTAGGCCTCACTCCCCACGGACCCAGTCCTTCAGGTGCTGGGGTGAGAGGCACCGCAGACCCTACCCTGGGCCCCGGCCTCTGGGTGAGAACAGCTCTCTGGGTGAGGCCTCTAGGGCAGCAGACCTTCTATCTGCAATCCTGCCCCATGCCAGGAGCACGTGTGAGTGCGGAGACTGGGCTGGGGAAGAGAGGCCATTCCATAGCCAGTGCCTGCACCCACGGCCCTGCACCCACAGCCCTGCACCCCATGGCAATGCACCCACGGCCCTGTACCCACGGCCCTGCACCCACGGCCCTGCACCCACGGCCCTGCACCCCATGGCCCTGCACCCACGGCCCTGCACCCCACAGCCCTGCTCCCACCCAGCCTTGGTTGTCATGGCCACTTCAGGAAAGGACACCAGTGTTTTCAGAGCTCCTGCTTCGTGCAGTCAGGCAGTGCTTGGGGCCATGGGTCCTGGTGAGCATCTCACAGTCTGGGCACCACAGCCCCCTCAGGAGGAGCCGGCGGGGGTGGTGGGCAAGGGAGAGCTCCCTCCACTGGCAGGGCATCGGAGTGCAGGGGAGGGCCCTGCACCCACAGCCCTGCACCCACGGCCCTGCACCCCATGGCCCTGCACCCACAGCCCTGCACCCCATGGCTCTGCACCCACAGCCCTGCACCCACGGCCCTATAACCACGGCCCTGCACCCACAGCCCTGCATCCACAGCCCTGCACCCACGGCCTTGCACCCACAGCCCTGCACCCACAGCCCTGCACCCCATGGCCCTGCACCCACGGCCCTGCACCCCACAGCCCTGCTCCCACCCAGCCTTGGTTGTCATGGCCACTTCAGGAAAGGACACCAGTGTTTTCAGAGCTCCTGCTTCGTGCAGTCGGGCAGTGCTTGGGGCCATGGGTCCTGGTGAGCATCTCACAGTCTGGGCACCACAGCCCCCTCAGGAGGAGCCGGCGGGGGTGGTGGGCAAGGGAGAGCTCCCTCCACTGGCAGGGCATCGGAGTGCAGGGGAGTGTGAAAGGAGCGCTGGAAGGGATGCAGCCGCCTGTCTGTTTGGGAGGTTTGCTGGAGAACGGGCCTGGGGTGGCTCTGAGAGCAAGGAGGTTAGGACTGAGAGAGCAGCAGCTGGCGGCGGAAGTTGGACGGAGCAGGATGGTGAGCTGACGGAGGGGGCAGTGCTGGGCTCTGCGGGGTGAGAAGTCGCTGCTTCAGTCACCGTCCCGGACTGAGAGCAAGCAGACCAGCGTGACCGTGGACTTTAGCCAAACCTCTCAGGGCCTCTAGCACCTGTAGAGCAGACCTGCCAGCACTGTCGTCGCAGGGGGATCAGGAAACGTGAGTGACGTGAACGTCTGCAGGTGCACAGCACACAGTCGGCGCCCGTCCCCAGTGGCAGCACGGAGCCCTGACCACCGCCCTGACCACCGCCCTGACCACCGCCCCCCTCTCAGC